AACAACGCTAGATACTGTTCTTCTCATATTCATACATATTTACTAATAACCTTTTTTTTTGTGTTATTAAAACCAAAAAAAATTAAAGATCTATTAACAAAGAAAACAGGTCCATCTCGAAGTAATGTTTCTTACAAATAAAAATTGAGAGACTTATTTAGATCTTATAAATGCAATTGAAGTGATTTTTGAGGTACAACTGGAACGGTTGAACGATTTGCAACTTTTTTTCGTGTTTTTTTTTAATGCTATTTTTAGTATACTATTTATGTTCGAAAAAAATTTGTCAAAAATTCTTACGTGTGGTGAATGTCCTGGAGCTGCATTCACTAGCATGTACTGGTATGCTTTTGAAGAAAGTAGTCATACAGTATGATTTGTCTTTACTGTTTAGATACAATTACATCTTAGCTATTAAGTATGGAGTAGGAATAATTGTGGGAGAGGATTAACATTCTAGGCAATAGGAAAATCTCTTTAAATCATTGGAAGATTTGATCAAACTTCATGGTCTTATACTAACAAGTCTACATATTGCTGATATTGTATTGTGATGTCATATACTGTTTATGCTTGTTCAGTAATTAAATATTAAAGTTTATATTGAAACCACACAAAACTACATATACGAGGTGTGATCAAAAAGTGAGGTGACTTCATTTTTATAAGAAAATATTTATTTATTTATCTAAAACTATGTGATCCCCTTCAAAATAATCCCCCTCGAATACAATGCACTTGTGCCAACGATTTTTGCAGTCATCAAAGCACTTCTGAAATGCTATTTTGGGTATTGCTTTGAGCTCCTGCAGCGATGTAGCCTTAAGTTCCTCAATCGTAGCAAATCTTCGTCCTTTCATGGGCTTTTTCAATTTTGGGAAGAGAAAAAGTCACTGGGGGCCAAGTCTGGTAAATATGGTGGCGGAGGCATGATGGAAGTACTGTTTTTGGCCAAAAAACTACTAACTAATAACGACTCCTCTGCAGGTGCATTATCATGGTGCTCGCGGATACATGTCTCATACCCAAAACATCCGTCAAAATTGATTGGCATGAGCCAAACTATATGTCAAGATCTTTAGCTATTTCTCTAATCATGTTCCGAGGATCTTTTAGCACCACTTTTCTCACTTTCTGAACATTTTTGTCGGTGTTTGACGTGCTGGGTCGCCCAGAGCGAGGTTCATCATTAACATGTTCTCAGCCCTCTTGAAATTACTTATACCACTTATAAGCATTTTTTTTCCTCATAGCTGACTCACCGTAGGCCACTGTTAATATTTCAAGAGTTTTTGAGCACTTCATACCATTTTTTACACAAAAATTAATACAAACTCTTTCCTCCATTATTTTCAACAAAAAGAAATCGCCAAGTACGCAAACACAAGTCTAACCTGTAAGTCTCTTACATAAAAATAACACATGCTATATAGTCAAAACTATGAACATATGATCGTGACTAGTGTACCAACATAATAAAAAAAATGTTTCACTGAAAGTGTAAAGTTCGCGCGCTTTTCAAAAAGTCCCCTTACTTTTTGATCACACCTCGTACTTATTTTTATAATTACTGAACCACCTTTGTCCTTGGAATCGTTTCATTACCATCGTATTTATTTTTATAATCACATTGTCTGCCATATAAAATTATAAAAGAATATCTTCATACTTGGGTAGCCAAGAACTTACTGTTTTATTTTACGACTTATAATGCTAGCAATAAGGGTTAAGCTGCACGAAACACAACATTTTATATGCGGTAAGGTAAAAGTACTAGTTACTGGCTACTTAGGAGATGTTATCAAAAGAATATCATATATTTTAAACAGCTTTTAAAATTTTAACTTCTGTTAGGTATCATTTGAAAGCTATGAATGTATTTCAAAGTATACGATAAATAGAAGTCGTATATCCGACCATAGACAATAATAATTTATAATAATCTGAGTATGTCAGATGCTTTAGTACATGACCACTGAAAAAAAAGGTTACTTTAGTGGCCCAAATTTAAGAGCCGCCAGCAATTAATGGTCACCCCATGCTAAATGTATATAAATCGAGGTGGTCAGCTACTAGTATTTTTTAAAGTCTTGAACAAAAAAAACTATCTTCATTGCATTTTAAAATGGATTATTGATAAGTTTTTACAGTAATGTTATCCTAGCACGAATTAGTATTAAAGTTAATTCTTATAATTTGTGAAATGGTGTTGGTGGCCAGGTACTGGTCGCGGCCAGTAACTAGTGCATTTACCTTAATAATGATGATAATTTACGAGGGACATAAACTGTAAGACGGTTATCCCTACTAAACCTTTTTTAAGAAATTTTTTTTATCATTATTATTACAGCACGAGTGAGGGATTACATATTAGCTGCCTAGGCCTTAAAATCCATCGTAAATAGAAGAACATTTAAAAAAATCCTAGAGATATAACCACAAAAAAAAAGAAAGCAAAGTCATAAATCCGTGTTCTCAGATAAAAGACAAGCACTCCAGCTCCTTACCGACTAAGAGCTTCGAATGTTGCGTGCTTTTTGATATGAACTCAGAAAACACCTGTAGCTGATATTACATTGTTGATTGTTGTCAGGTTTGCTTGATTTGAAAAATATGTCTATCTAAATTATACACTGAAAAGTTTGGCTCACAGTTCGCGTGATGACAAAAACATTCTTTGTAAAGGCTAAGCAGGCAAAAATGTATATCTCTGCATTTTAATATACGCACGTTATATTTTCGTTATTATAACGTCTTTTAAACCCATTTTTATCGGTTAAGCTGTAAAATAAGTTAGAATGTGCTGGATGAAACAAGAAATTTTGAGGTAGGTTGATAAAAAAGATAATTTTTCTACATTCAAAAACCCAAGTATGTGAACGTAAACTAGACAGTAGAGTGGGGTCTAAGACTGCGATTTTTTCTTTAACTTAGATCAAACTACTCCCGTGCTTCTGTACTAGGGCATAATAACAAAACATTAAATACGTTTTTTACACATTTTTTTAGAAGCTAATGTTATTCGTTAAAATGAAGCATAATTCATTGTTACTATTACCAATATTTTATTTTTGATAGTTTCATCAGATTCTACCTTATCATAGTCACGACAAGAATATTTATTAATATTTGCTTTATTGCATACACCAGTTACTTCAGAACCACATGGATCATAAAGCTTGTAAGCATTGCATCCTGCTTTGTTTTCTAATAGATGTAGTCTTGCAAATACTACAGACTTTGTCTTTGACTGGTATTTTAACATACAGCTCCCATGAGCTCGTACATCTCACAGTAAGTTGTAACATTTCTTAAATTTTTCGGTTTATTCATATCGAGTTGGATTCACACGACTAGAAGGACTCAACATCATAATCAACATTCCTTACTAGCACACAACTTTTTTAGTACTGTGTCAGATTAAGGGTGGTGGATTAAGGTAAATGCTTCTTCGATTCTTTTTTTTCAAACACTTTTTTACCACTGGGTAATGTGAATTTGGTACCAAGGATTTAGTTAAACCTTCTGCACTGAGGTATGTTTTGGCTTACAGTTTCGTCGTAAAGGCTCATGTTGTTGTCTTTTTTTTATTGAGTAAATATATACAAGATTTAAAAAAGCACAAAGAATCATGAATACATATATAACCTGCCACTGCGATTATACAAAAGGGGCCCACAATAATTTACCATGAACAAATCATCAGGCGCATTAAATTGCACAGAATCATATGGATCCCCCATTGTAATTGTCAAATAGTTAATTCATTAGCAAATATCACCAGTAAGAATGAAATTGCTTTACAAAACCACTACAGTGTCACAAAAAAAGTTTCAACATACAAGAGTCTTGAATGAACAAAAGTACTCTTATTTACTGTTAATTTAGGCTGCTACATATTTAGTTGAGCTCATGGTTAGGACTATCTATCTGAAGACGGTATTTGTTGACTGATTGAATATACTTTTATACGCCTGGAGTCTTTCACTATTTTAATTATTATTATTTGTCCATTACAAGATTTTTTGGCTATTGGAATCGAGTGTTCGCTTAATTTTTACATATTTTACTATCATTCTTAAATAGACATTATTAACGTTACTGTTTAGTGTAGTTACAAAGAAACTACATCATTACAAATAAAAGAATTGTAAGAACTAGTCTCGTTTCAATAACACAACTTATAGCTTAACATTAGGGTAAAACTTTTGTTAGAATTTTTTGCAAAAATCAGTAAAAATACAATCAAACGCGTGGTACTGCAATACAGCGTACGTGTCATGTAGCAATCGTAAGTCATTCTAATTGAGTTGTCGCATGTCGTGATTTGATTACTGACAAACGCTTAACTGTCACGTCTATAATCCTACGATTACGTTTGTGAACATCAGGCATAGAATACTCCATATTTCTTGGCTATTAGAGTTAGTTTTAGGTTTAAATGGTTTTTTTTGTCATTGTGTAACTGAAACTTCCCGTATGAAAGAAATTAACTTTAAAAGCATTTAATGTTTTTGTCAGTGCTTCAGTACACTTTTATGATTCAGTTTACGTAATTGAACTTCCAAACAGATCTTAAAGATCACAATAATATTTATTATTTAGTTGTTCCAGCAAAAGTTTATTACTCTTATTCTTACTAATAGACAATTTCTTCAATAAATAAGTTAAATAAGTACTAGTAAGCTTTCAATAAGTTAATCTTCAACTTTCCACTGACGTATTTTTATGCATTTATGATATTTACACAAAAAGTTGTAATATAGTACCTAAGGATAGGATGACCTGTAATGAAACCTTAATGACTTATAAACGGTACATATTTTTGAGAATTTAATCACAGTATGATGATTCTAATATTTGTTTTCTGTTGTTTGTAACTTTTACACTTTTTTTACGTATATTTTACAATGATAAAAGAAATTCATCTTTGTAATGAAAAAACTATTTTGTTAATTATTATTAAAATATGATTTTAACATAAGATTTTTGTTTTTCAGACATCGCATTTTTCAAACAGCTTTATTTTGTTATGAAATGAGATCCCGAGTTCCCTTCAACATTTATAAAGTTAAAACTTGTAGAAACGTTACAGGTACGTAATTTTTGCAATGTATTTTTTTTGCGTGAGTATCAAATTAAAAGAATTATGTTATTTCAAGTATTATTAGTTGTATTATTGATGTTTAATGGTTGAAACCATCTTTTATTCATATACTTCATTATTAAAATCCTTTATTGATTATGACTGTAGTAAACTCCATTACTGTAACTGCCACTAGGCTATAGCACCTTGGAACGGTAAGTTGGATAAGATCAGTAAGTAGTTACCCTTTCTTAACCTTAAAATCACAAAAAAAGCTTAGTAAATCAGCTAGAAAGCATAAAAAAGTTTAAAAAACGGTCGTAATTACGATAAAGCTTCTTATCACGTGTTAATGTAATCCAAAAAATTGTTCAATTAGGTGACCTTGTCATAGGGTGGGATTCGGCTCCAGCTGTGGAGATAAATACCTCATAAGCTACCGCTACCTAGAAGTTGGCTGTAAAGTTTTATTTTAAATTATTAATTAAGCCTAAGATCGTCACGGATTACTGATTGACCAAAATTCAATAAGAATTCAATGTCAAATCACAAGGATTACATCCTTTATTCTAAAAATCATGTCATTTTTTAAAGAGAATATAGCATTAAGGTATAAAAACAGCCAACTAAGTATAAACCGTCAAAACTGCACTGTAGGTGGTATTATTAGTCTCAGAATGTAGCTTTCACGTCTTATTATACGTGTAAAGAAACATTAACAGAAATAACATACCAAGTAGATAAATAGTGATTAAATACACACAATTGTATATAATTCATATAAATCGATTTTTTTTATAAAAGCTAAGATAAACGAATTGTGGTTGATACCTTAGAGTCATTTCAAAAATTGTGCACGAGGTAGCCCTACAATAAATAGATTTATGTTACCTTATTGAGCTTAGTAATGGAACAAAATTTATAACTCCATAAAAATCAAAGTTGGGATTTCAAAAGTTTTAAATTATTCAAAAAATGAGTTTGTATCTTTGAACTATCTTACTACTTATTAAAAGTATTTAAGACGAAAAAAATTGTTCTATGACAAATACTGACCTTACGTGTAGGTACTACTGCCCATATTATCTTGTTTGTTGTGTTAGGCAACACAAACCCTTCACAGCGACCCGCAGCCCCCACAACCAACCACAGGCTTTCGTTAGCCCCCCAACACTCCCTTTAGCTTTTAAAAAATAAGGTGAAAGTCCGTCGTCTTCTCTATTATTCCGTCCTACCGGAGTTTTTTTGCCAACCTCTTCTTATCTTTGAAGACCTTTCTGCGCACCAACTCTCCCCCCTGCAGAATTTTTTTCGTGTTATAAAGCAGAATCACTAAAATGTGAAAAATAGCTCACCAAATATACGATAGTACATTTAAAGACGCTACTGTTACTTTAGATGTAGTGGAATATTATTCTTTAGTTTATTATATATTGCAGAAAGCATGTAACGTTCCACTGCTATGACAAAAGACAAATTTTTTTGCGTTATTTTAAACGTCTAGAGATATTTGTGAAAAAAATTTATTTAAAAAATTAGAGTAATTTTTTTTTTTAGAATTTGGAAAAAGATGGCTACCATAAGATAATATATAACTGGTCACCATATGTTGACAGCGTAACTAGGAGCAGAAGAAGGTGGTACACATGCAGGTATCGAGGTAGCATATCTAGGGAGAAGATAAGATGACGATCACATAGTGGTAGCGTGGTCAGGACCAGAGGAAGGCAGCCTGTACGTACGCACTATCATAGTAGGATCAGGATGATAAGAGGAATGTGGTTTTGTAGTGTAGGACCCACTTGTCCAGGAAGCATAAGTATCTTGGTATCTTTTTATCAATTACGTATGCATACAAAGTAGCTTTCTTAGTAATTAAAGTTGATTTATAATAAAAATCTATCGCTTATAGTACATCAGCGCATTTAGGACCTGGAGATCGTGGCATCGTTAAAAAAAGTATTGCACTTACGATTAAGTACCAGGATACCAAAGGACGGTGGCTTCTGCACAATTATATAGGAGAAAGCGGCTTTTTTTCTGCAAAGAAGGGCAAGTACAAGTGGCTCAACTGTGGCACTGTTACTTTAGACTATGAGGATGCACATATGTACAGAATAATAAGTACGAGGATTTTTAAATACAGCTATTCTTATACTACTGTCTGAAGACTTCGTAAGGTAATACGTATTTGCAGCTGCTGGTATAGGGTTTGTAGTGCATAACTACATGTTATCTATACCTAATCGTGTACGTCAAATATGATGTATGTTGGCTCCACTGCGTTTCCTATTAAACTAACGTTTATCGGAAAAAAGTCCTTAACGATTTAATAATTGTTCTCTTGAAATTCGTTTATTATCAGAACTTGGGCTTGCGATAAATTTTGTTCACAACAGTTTAATCTATCACCTATCCTTTTTAGGCCAGACTCACATTAACCATCAATTCTTCAGGCCTGTGTCATAAAAAAATTTAGGTAAGTATAACTAGCTGTTACGTAAGAATTTATTTCTTTTACGAGGCAATTAGGAGCGAGTACTTTTAGTCATCTAGCAAATATATTAGACCTCTGTAATGAACGACACTATAAAACACTAATTCTTGTGTAAGACTTTGATATTTTAAAATTAAAAATTAACATGCGTTACAGAAATAAACAGATTGCTTTTTTTTTGATGAAAATAGGAAATAAAACGAAGGGATCATTTAATATTCGAGAAAAATTAAATACTTGTAAGATTCATAAAAAAGTGTATGAAGATCAAAGTGGTATGAATGGTAACCTTGACGAAGTTATTCAAATATATTATCCTACATTTTGAGTAACAAACTACTTATTTAATCAAAGAAAGCAAAAATATGTTTTACTATATGGATTATGCCAATTTTAGGTAAATTGGTTGCACACGAACTAACATATACATACATTTTTTTATAGAAACTGATACTTATATACATAAAGGCTAACCACCACATTTTTTACTTTCAAAATGAATGAAATTGTTATGTCCGTACATAAGTTAAGTTGATTTAATGATTAGTGCAACTGCACTAGACTATATTTACTTGAATTATTTAAATAGAACATGAAAACAGAAATATTATCTAGAGTAAAATCAGGCTTTGGAGTTTTCATATTAGGAATCACAATAACTACAGGTGATGACTTATTTTAACTACTTACATTTTACAGAAAACAAATTTTTTTTCTTGCTTTCTTTATGATAATTATTAAATCACGGGGCAAAGTTTTGCTGAATGAGAATCTTACTTGAGTAGTGTCTTACGTTTTTACAGTTAACTGTATGTATTGGTTTGAAGATGAAAGAGCCAAAGTAATATTTTTAGTTAAAATTATTTTGTCAAGAAATTTACCATAAAAGCTATCGTTAAGCAATAAATAATTCATACTTATTAATAAAAAAATCACCTTTCTTAGTAAGCAGTCACAGAAGACTCTAGTACAAATCAAATTATTATTTACATAAAACATTCTTCTCTTGAGAGTATTCTATACATCAATTGCATGTTTGCAAGCCTTACTCTTGTATAAAATATATTATTATTTGTAAAAAAGTCAGTAACTATTATCACTTCGGCAAATTCCTTGAATTTGCACAAATTATACAGATAAAGTGATAACTTCAATTATAACCATTCTGGGTATTGTAAGGTATTGCAATAATATTGTTATGTAAATTATGATTAATAATATGCTTTTAACTACGATCATAAATGGCAGTCCAAGGGAGCTGGAAGAGGAGTTACTCGGAATAAAGGGTGGTTTAAAAAAAAAGGGCAAGGAGAGGTTAATTTACGTAAAATATTTTAAATAAGGTCATAAAATAGTAAAAAATGTGTTTTTCTTCTAACTTAAGGGGAAGGGCTGATGGTGTAATTACAAATTTTTAGCGGTGACAAGGGAGTAAAAGAAAGGTTCTTGGATCAATTTTGTCATACAACTAGACATTATAATTTTTTTTTAGTCTTTACTACATTTGTAAAGGGTGACGAAAAATAGAGGGCTCACTTAAAATGCCAGGGGTGCCAGAGAGGTTGTAAGGAAGGGTCTTATTTTCGTAGGAATATTTTTTATATAAGATCAATATAACAAAGCTATATTAAAGTTTTTTTCTATTTTGTGAAATAGTTCAAAAAACAATTGACAAAATCGTCAAGTTAATAACAGTTAATGACAAGTTTCAGTCTTACAATATATCTTACTTATAATGTAAAATAATCATACATATGGTGATCAAAGGTAACGTATTTCGGTAATTATATGTGTGGATTAATGCAATCAAATAAATACCGACGGACACGTCAGCATTATTTTACTATCTTCCTTACATATACATTAAAATGACGTAAGGTCTGTATAAGTCTTCTTTACTTAGTTTATATTATCCTATATTATTTACGAAATTAAAAGGGTCATTCCGTACATCTCCTCGTTATAAAACCCCTCTAGCCACCCTCTGAAAAAAGTGTAATTCTATCACTTTTTGCCATATTCTAAATAAAATAAGTTTTTTGATAGCCTGCCACCACCTCTTCTGTCACCATCAGTCTCCTGTTCAATTTTGACAAGCCCCCCTTGATGCTGGCTACCCCCTCTCCTCCACCTGTTTTTGTAAGGTAAAGTTTGATCAGTTTTTATCTTACTTTTCTAAATTCTATTAGCACTGCCCTCCACTTACTTGACGCCCTTTAGTCTCCCCTTACAACAATATAAACTGATTACGGCATGGATGCATTTCCTAATAAAAGTAAGGGTAACATTATATCGGTTGTTAAGTAATTTTTAAGTAAATTACTTTTTTCACCTTCTTTTAAGCGTTTCTTACACTTTTTGATAAACCCTCCTCAGCCTCCTCAGAATTATTTGACACGTTGTCTGAGAAAATTTCCAGTGATCTTTAAAGCCCTCTTCAGCTAGTTTTCACTACTCCCTTTATAATGATTTTACCTACATGTAAGATTTCTTAGGACATTCGCACAGAACC